CCCCAAAACCCCAAAACCCCAAAACCCCAAAACCCCAAAACCCCGATATTTGCAAGGAATATTGAAATTGGGGAGGGGATTAGAGGGTTATGGAATGATCTTGGTTCCTGAGTTGTCTTGGAGAATGAATTTGGTGGTGTAGAAACCGTATTTTCTTTTTATGGATTTGGCTTGGTCTTCTTTGAAGTTGCATTGTGAGAGGGTTATGTTTGTTAATGAATTTATACAAGGGCAATATGAGATGTTTCTGAGGATTTTTTTGTAGTTTACAAAATTGCTATAGCCATCCAAGGATATCTCCCTGGGATTCGAAAATACAATATTCTTTAACCTCGAACTTCCCATCAGCTGTCTCTTGATTTTACCTTCAAGAATGCATCAATCATGAAAGAAAATCTTTTTTACTTCAGATGTAGCCAAAATAATCCTAACGAATTCTTTCGCTTTCAATCTGACTGAACTAATTAACAGCCTTCCTTTAAGACTCGAGAAAAGCTTAATAAACTCATTAAAATGTTTCGAGATCTTTGCTTTGTCACTATACTTTCCGAAAATATGGAAGCTATGGATGTTGTTCAGTCCAGAACTTAAGCTGGAGAAGAGGAGATTGTTGGCTTTGGAAGATAGTAGCTTACTTCATAACTCAATATTTTGGATATAACAAGCCTGTCTGATAAAAGGAGAGTATTTGAACTTCCTCAAAATCTTACTTCTCAAAAAAGGATAATCAACATTCATCATCTTAATTTTAAACTCATCTCCACTCCCAACACCAACTCCTGCTATCCACAGGCATCCTTTCAAAACTATTACCATCATAAACCCTCTCACAAACAGCTTTCTCTTTCCTCAAAACCCCTCTCTCAACACACATCTTGTTGTCAAAACCCTTGTGGTCGCTCATCTCCATATTTAACCTCAAAAATTAAGTTAATTCTATAGATAAGGTATTCGTCGGGGTTTTGGGGTTTTGGGGTTTTGGGGTTTTGGGGTTTTGGGG